TAAATCAACCCAAGACTTGTGTTGTTTGAATTTCTCATAGAAACATAATTTATCAAGGAGAAATGAAATCCTTTCAAAATCAGTAGATATAGATGGGTTGTTTTGACCCAAGGAAAATCTCTTGTTTTTCAAGGCCTTGCCAATAATACAACCTTTTATAATGAATTCTTAGAATAAATATAGTGGAAATCTGTCAGCAGGGCAGAAACATGACCGCTGCATTTTGAAGTACCAATTGTCAGAGCAGCCATCTTCATCCAAAAAGGATTTGAATCCAAAGAAAAAAGAAAGAAAAGAAAAAAGGACTACCGCAAGTCTTGTTAACAAGATCTTAACAAATTAATTCAATCTATTCTTCAGGATCCTAATGTTTTATAGACACTTGGAATGGAATAGATAAATATGGACTGGACTGGAATAGGAATAGGAATAGAATAGAACAAAACAGAACAACAGAATAGAACAGAACAGAATAGAATGCGGTTCTCGGCTTGCAGCCACAATTGTGCCTAAAATTTTGATTGCTAAGTGAAACACTTGTTAAGTAGATTTTTCCCATTTTATGACCTTTATTACCAAAGTTCTTTACTGAAGTTGTTAAGTTAGCAACACAACTTTAATGAATCTGACTTCCCCATTGACTTTGCTGGTCAGAAGATCACAAAAGGTGATCACATGATCCTGGGACACTGCAAATGACAGAAATATAAAGCAGTTACAAGCAACCAAATTTTGATCAAATCGCCATGGGGATGCTGCAACAAACGTAAATGTGAAAAACTGTCACAAATCACTTTTCTCAGTGATGTCATAACTTCAAACAGTCACTAAATGAATAAAATGGAAGGGAAGAGAATAGAATACTTTATTTGGCCAAAGGTGATTAGACACCCAAGGAATTTGTCTCCAGTGCATGAGCTCCCAGTGAACATACAAAATAATAAACTAATAATAATCATAATAATGATACTAATAAGAGAAAAAGAATCTTATTACTGATCAGTATCTGAGCCATCGGGTTAGCTCCATTAGTCATTATTACATTTTGCAGGGTGTCCACCAATTTTTAAGTAGAGAGGAAGAGGAAGGGAAAAGAAGTACTGCAAAGTGATGCCCCAGTCCTAGACATGATCTTTATTCCCAAGAATACCTCTGAGTCCTACATCACCTCTAAAGACATGGATCTTTAGGAATTTAAATAAAAACCTTTGCTTAGAAAGGAGAATAAAAGCCCCCCCCCCCCCCAAAGTCATAGAGAACCTGTAGCTGCCCCAGTGAGGTCTTGTCAAGGTGGATGTCAGGGAACAATCTGATCCGTTTTGCTTTTTAGAGAAATTGATGTTTTATGACTGACCTTTATGGTAGCTGATTTGCATGCATGCCTATGAAACATTTTCAAAATTTTAAATGTGTCCACTGAACCAAAAAATGTGGGAATTCCCATGTTAAATGGGCAAATGGTATGATGTGGTATAAGGCAACTTATATTACTTTAAAAAAAAAGATCAAGGTTATATGAAAATAAGGGTAGGTGAACATTCCTTCTACTTTATTCTTTGCACTTCATCATTTGAACACCCCACCCCATCCCAGTTAGTTAACTGGACTATGACCCTTTCCCAGGTTTTATATACAAGGATGGCATATATACAAGCAACTGACAAAGGAACTGACTCACCAACCTTGAGTATGAAACTTTTCCATGTGTTGTGCTGAAAAGAAATAATTGCCTGTCTCCTTTTACATTCCTGATGCAAGAAAAGAAAACTTATTCATTAAACAAAGCTGAAAATAGCGACAAATGAGCTGATATTAAGTTCATTGGTGGAAATGGAGAACATACTAATGAATTTTAACATGCTAGTTTTACCTTCCTTCCTTCTTTCCTTCCTTCCTGCTTTCCTCCCTCCCTCCCTCCCACTTTCCCATTCTCCCTTCCTCTCTCCTTCCCTTATTTTTCTCATCCTCCTTCCTTCCTTCCTTCCTTCCTTCCTTCCTTCCTTCCTTCCTTCCCCAAACTTCTCCCTAAAATAACTTTCCAGAATCCATTTTCTTCCAATGTATTTCAGCAATTCTGCAACAGACATAATGTACAGCTGTCTGTGTAAGGATATATAATACCAGGTGCTTTCACAAAACCTTCTTGATCAAGCAGACCTTAGTTTTCTCCCCCAGTGCTCTAACGATGCTTGCTGTCATTCAACAGTTTCTAATCATGCATTTGGCTACCCCAAATGTGGCAAGTGTGGGAGTTATGGCAATAAAGGGCCGGGTTGTCATGCAACATTATGAAAGAGAGGGCAAACTTGTCATCTGTTGCGATTGAAGACAAAGACTAAAAGGTGAGATTTAAAGAAGAGAAAAGAAGCTTCAGGCTGAAGGATAGGGAGTCCTTCTAGATGGTAAGCAGCCGTTAAGCAGAGGAATGGTCTCCCTAGACCAAGGGGAGGCTCTGCTTGCTGGGGGTTTTCAAACAGAATCTGGACGGTTGGTAGTTTAGTAGATCCCTGCACTGAGATGGGAGTGGACTAGATCAGTGGTTCTCAACATTTTCTTCACCATGAACTTCCTTTAAATACCATTTGTGGCCATGAACCATGGCCACGGACCAAGACATAAGTCAAGATTCAAAGTATTAGAAAGCACAAATCATATGATGATGACATTGTGCCCTCCACCAGGGGTCTGTGAGCCACATGTTGAGAACCACTGGTCTAGGTGATCTCTAGAAAAAGGAAGGGAGAGATCACCGTTCCAGATTGCAAAGTAGAAGAATAGCTAGTAGCCACCTATTGGGTATGGCTGGGAATTGTGTGATGTAATTTTCAGAGAGTTGTTGGAGCGAGATTATGGCGCTTTCTTTGATCACTATGCTCTTCGGATTCTTTTTTCCCCCCTTCCCATTTTGATCAGAATTGATTTATCTGTTTTTTCATCAATGGCTCCATTTTTCAATTTTTAAAAAAATCCCGGCTAGAACTTTCTCCCCAAATTTAATTCTACCACACAATTTACCCTTCCTTCCTTCCTTCCTTCCTTCCTTCCTTCCTTCCTTCCTTCCTTCCTTCCTTCCTTCCTTCCTTCCT